GCAGGAGGATAAGCTGTGACATGTATTTATTTGGTTGTTACTTTAGTTAGAATCAATTTTAAGGAATATCCAAACTGTGCTTTGGGAAGCTCTGATAGCTAGGATATGAATTCTTTTTCTTTCTTTATTTTTCAAACAAAATTTTAATGATTTCAGTTCAATACAACTGAAAATGTAGTGTCATTAAATGCCATTTTCTGCTAAATTTTAAATTGCAGCCTTGTGGGCCATTGCTGGTATAAATTCTTTTTCTTTTGTGTATATTTTATTCCACATTATCTCCAGTAATAAAATGTCTATCATAATAAACCTGTACATTATTCATACATATGTACACATATATAAATATAACTACATTATATATATATCTATATGTACATTATACATATAACATTCTAGTTGATTCACATGTTCTTTGGGATTTTTTGTTTGTTTGTTTTTTTGCCAGTCCTGAGCTTGAACTCAGGGCCTGGGTGCTTTCTTTGAACTTCTTTGTGCTCAAGGCTAGTGCACTACCACTTGAGCCACAGTGCCATTTCTGGCTTTTTTGAGTAGTTTATTATTGGAGATAAGAATCTCATTGGGAGTTTTTTGCCCAATCTGGCTTCAAACCATGATCCTCAGTAGCTAGGAGTATAGGCATGGGCCAATGACACCTGGCTCATGTTCATTTTTTTTTCTTGTCCATAGTGGGGCCTGAACTCTGGGCCTGGGCACTGTTCCTCAGCTTTTCAGCTCAAGGCTAGGGCTCTACTGCTTGAGCCACAGCACCATTTCTGGCTTTTTCTGCTCATGTGGTGCTGAGGAGTTGAACCCAGGGCCTCATGCATGCAAGGCAAGCACTCTACCACTGAGCCACCTTCCCAGCCCCCTCAGGTTCATTTTTATAAATAGGAATTTCTCATAGGAATATTCTATTATCTCATAGTATTTACTGTATGTCAAAAATCATCCCCTGAATAACTTAAAAGTCTAAGTCATGGCTCAGCAAGCCAGAGAAAGACCCAGGTTTTACCTCCTGGCTCCAGGCTTCTTATTCCTCATAAACCTTTTTCTAAGCTTGAAAGTACATCTTTGTAATCAAGTCTATATAAGCACTTGGTTACAATAGTGCTTTAATTTTTCTCTAATTATCTGGATAATTGACAGCCTGAGAAGTATATTATTGGTATCAGTTCACCCTGCATTTACCTATTTCTCTTAAGAGAATTCTAACACAATTATCTATGATTTATTATCACCATTGCCTAGAACTTGGGTCAGAATGACCAGAATCACAACTTTGATGCCTATATTTAGATTTTTTATATACTAAAAAGTCATCTTGACTACAAACATCGGCAAGAAGTTGATGTTGTTTGATGGAAAGCTCGTTACCTTCATTATAAGTCAGTCTAAAGTAAAAGCCATTCAAAAGGCCTCTCAGGAAGAAAAGTTACATCTCCACCAGTGATGCCTCAGCAATGACTTCTAAGAGCCATTGCAGACTGACTTATAAAGATACAATATACAACAGATTTCAGTTTCAATGGTTAATGTGGAGCTTCAATAGGAAAGATACTGAGAGAACACAGGAAATATACTCCTGACATTATAATGAATATCGAGTATTGATGTTTATGAGTCTCCATACAGTTCATATGGTTGAAATAGCAAAGGATGCAAAATAATAGAAATTCCCCTAGCAAACCATACTTCTGGAGAAAGAGATACTGATTTGAACAGATAAGCTTTAACATTACAGAACTTTTCTATGCAAAAGAGTGAAACATTACATAAAAGGAATAAGGTGGGAGAAACTAAGGTGAGTGGTTCTCTTCAAGGGAGGTGTGATGGACTTGGGGTAGTATCTGGAAATGTAGAATAAGTTGATTAAATAAAAATGAACAAGTATTCTTTGATACGAGATGGAGGACACATGGGTAGTAAATCTAAATCAGACGTGAGAACCCTAAACAGAAGTCCAACTCTGGCTGTAAAATTAACACCACTATGCATTCTGATACATCATAACCCTTCCTCATCTGATAGTCCTTCCATCTCCTTAGTATAACCCTAGAAGCATAAAATGGAAGAGCACTAAACTATCCTTTATCAGATTGAAAGACTGGATGAGAAACTGTGGATGAATCATTAATATATGCCCTTTTGTCTCTGTCACACTTTTATTACCCTGATGGCTTTTTACCAACCTCTTCAGCTCAGCGATAGCAAATTTCTCTTCCCAATGATAGTAGCTCAACCCCCAGTTAGCAGGGCTCTGGAATGACAGATGTCATCCACTCAAGCTTTCATTTTTATCCATAAAGACAATGAAATCCTGAATTTGTGACTTCCTATAATTGCATAGACTTAGATAGAACTCAGTGCCTGCATTCCAGTCTCATGCTTTTTTTCTGAGAGCAGTCTAATAACAATGAAAGCAGTTTATAATCACAGACCTGTAAAGCACTTAGTTATTGGGCACTCACAACTCACCAAACTTGCTGAACAGCATAATTATTTAGAGAGAGTTAAGTGATAAACACTCTTTCTCATGTCCTGTTGTTTAACAAAGTGATCATTCATATGCATTTTTTCTTAAACTAGGAAATAACTTTTCATTCTAAAAAATTCAAAGATAACTTAGCCCCCTCAGTCAGAATATCTTGAGGAAGAGTTGTTTCTAGCCATGCTTGTTTCTGTTGGAATTATAATTCTGATCATTAAATTTATACTTCATATATACTTGTGGTTTGGATATGGTTTGTTTTAGGCAACTTTCAGGGAATATATTGTTATAAATTTTCCATGCAGAGTAGTCAATGATTGTTATAATTTTAGAAGTTATCCAAAGTTTAGAACTTCTATTTTTATATTACTATTTTATGTCATTATGATGGTGAACCAGTTTGTTTATTGTAACTTTCCTCCAGAAAACATTGTTTCATAAGGCCAAGAATTGCTTTTTGCTTGTTACATTATTGTTATTTTATATTACAATCACACTACACTGCATTTATTGCAGTCTTTATACATTGTCATTTTATAGATTCTAGACATACATACACTATGCACTGCATCTATAATATTTCTCTAAGTGAAATGTGTATTTCATTTAGGACATCAAGATTTTCTGATATTCAGGCTAGGAGGAGGACACAGAATAAGGGGGAAATGGAACAACATACAACAAAGGGGCCCATCAGCTGCACTAGACATAGAATAAAAAGAAGTAAGCAATTCAATGACAGAGATGGGAATGGAGGAATGAGAGCGAAAGAGGGAACAGTCTATACTAAGCAAAAGGAAAGAAATGTAAACATCACCTGATGTGGAAGAAATAATTGTATTGTCAAAGCTCATAGAATTCACAAACTTTATAGACCACGATAATGACAATTTGCCTTGTGAAGGTTAAAATGGGAATATCTTTGTACAACTATTTAAAGATTAATAATAATAAAAATGTTAAAAATTTTTCTGATATTCTATATAAGTCCACAATGGAAAATACCCTCCTAAATGCTTCTGTAAGAACTGTTCCAAGAAGTATTTTCTATGAAGATAACTCATGTAGAAACATACTTTTCATGTGAGACAATTTAAATGGTGACAGAATATATCCGTCTTTAGAATCATCTAGAAGGTTATAATTATTTTACTCAGCGGATACTTGCAGATGATCTAAACTTTTCTTCTAATTTAGGCAAGATTATATTGATTTTATGTAATTCAGATTAATTAGAACCTACTTTGATCTAAAGTTGACTCAAACTTTTAAAGTATAGGAAAATTGACACATAGGTGAAATAACAAATCTTGCCTTTCTTAATGTTGTTACTTTAGGCATTTATCATTTTTAGAATTGAAAAGTAGATCTAGCTCAGAGTTCAGAAGGTAATCTTTTCCTTTTTTTTTTTTTTTGCTGGCTTTCCCCAACTACATTTTCCAGCAGTTTTGAAGTTAACCTAAACTGATTTCTGAGATTGTGAATCATGAAACTTGTATTTCTTCCTAATGAGATGGGTATGATACCACAGAGGTTTAAGATGATGAGCTAAATTGAGAAAATGTGAATTTTTCCCCCAACAAACCACAGTAGAATACAGAAAAAAAGAATAATTAAAATATACATTTTAATCATGGCTACAATAACAAGAGGAAGTAGAAAAAAAACCTTGTGTCTTTTTACTAAATAAGATTTTTCTCCCTCATTATGAAATGCATCAGATTTAAATATCTTTCTGGATTAAGGACATAAAAGAGACAGGAGATGCCATGTGGTTTCTTTCTTCTAATTCTGGATGACTACAGAAACGGATATAAACTTAAATAAATCCTTTTTTGTACATCATTGTGACTATATATTGCTAATTCTTCAGTGTAATTTGTATTTATCTTGTTTCCATTCTTTAAGTTTTGTCATACTACTTCTTCATTTCCAACATATCAAGCTTGCTTAGCTTGCTTATTCAACTAGCTACCACTTGAGCCACACCTCTAGACCTACTGTTGGCTGGTTATTTTGGAGATCGTGACCAGCAAACTTTTCTCCCTGTGCTGGCTTTAAGTTGCAGTCCTCTAATTTTGTCTCCTGAGTAGCTAGGATTGCAAGTGTGAACCACCAGCACCTAAATCATGTTTATGTTTTAGAAAGTACATAGGTATTAAGAAAATTAGAATGATTATCGGTGGCCACTGAATCAGGTTAGAATGTTTTCAAAGTCAAAGAATGACAAGTCAGAGAATCATCTGTGGGGGATGAATCTATTGAAATCTGGAATTATAAAACTTATGTAAATCTGCTGCTCTTCCATGGGCCTGTGTTTGGTAATAAGGATACTACAGCTTGCAAACTATCCATTTAGTTGGAGGATCAGGTCTTGGAACTACCATGATCTGAACCTGTTTTAGACATCCTTCTATCTCAGACATTAATAAATATTATTTGGTGAGCAACAAAATTCCATGGCAGTAACGTATTTTTTGTATTATATTTTCTAGAGTAACACATTTACCCAGGACCCACGGTAATATCATCCACTCGACGATGGTTGGTGGTGGACCTTGCCTGTTCAAGTCTGACCTGTCGATGTGCTGAGAGGCAAGCAGCAGCAGGAACAAAAAGGTCAAATAGGAGGCTGTGTGGCAGATAAACTTGATAAATGGCTTTCTGATGAACAGTCCAAGTGGGCTTTTAGGAGCTATCAGGTAGCACACAGAGAAGACGGGGAAAAGCAGTCCTATTATGAAACACGTCACCATCTTCACTGCCCAGTGTCTCCTCCTCCAGCCTGGGAACTCATCGTACCAGCGAGAGGCGAGAAGCTGTTGACAATTGGGCTGGGCCACGAACTAAAGCGGTAGGGAAAAGAAAAGAAAAAGGCGAAAACAATTAATGGTATATGCAATGACTGCAGTTTATCAGCAAGAGCACAGAGTCAGCTTTTAAGACCTAAGTTTTGTCTCAATATTTTTTGTTTATAATTTAGACACCCCAAAGTGGTTAAGACATTCTAATGAGTAAATCTCATTTACTGAACATTATTATACTTATGAGAGGCACACTGCTCTGTGGTTAATGAGACTCAACTAAAGTTAAAACACTCTCCTTGAAGAAGGGAAATGTGGATTGCAGAATATAAATGTGCATAGACAATGCTGATGAATATAGAAGCTTACAAAAATAATATGTATAGAGGCTAGATTCATGTTTTGTTATACAATACATAGATGACACAAAACAAAAATATTATCACTATTTCTTGGTTTGCTTAATTATTTCTTGGCTATAACATCATGCTTGTTTTTTCTTACATTGTTATTGAAAAGGTGATGTACAGAGGGCTTACAGTTGCATAAGTCAGGTAATGAGTATATTTCCTTTTAGACAATGTCATCTTTTCCCCTTATCTCTCCTGGTTTTTCCTCTTGTCCTCATCCATAAGTGCATAGTTTATTTTCAACATAGTGCCTAGCAAATACCATTGCTGCATTTGTTCAACATTTGTCCCTCCTTATGTTTGTCAATACTTAAATACATGTTTAATGTTTCTATAAAATAATAAATACCTAATACTTTTCAACCCCCAAAGCAAACATCTATTCAACTTTGTTGAACAATAGGAAAAGCATATATAAAAAATATGGCAATTAGAATGCCAATTTAATGAGAATTCTGAATTGAAGAGCTGAAATGGGTGGAAATAATTACCAAGTATAATCAATTATCACAAACAGAATCAAGACACCACTTTACCATGTTGACAAATTTGAGTTGCAGCATAAATATTTGTTTATTTTAAGGATGAGGACATACATAAGGATTTATAAGAAATCTCTAGGTCTGTTCAAGGTTACATATCTAGTAAATGGTGAAATGTTTAAATATCTTATCCTGGGTTTTCTGCTCACGATTTTCCTCAGTAGGACTGACTGGTATTAAATGAATTGAGAGGAAGTTTTCTCACCAAGATAGAAGGGTCCAGTGATGCTGAAGAAAAGATAGAAGAAGAAATTCAAGGCAGACACAGTAGAAGAGCAAGAGTCTTTGTGGTGGGAAACTATGCAATGGGTTTAGGGAATGTCTTTGAGTAGGTGTGACTAGAGTAGAAAAGTCCTTTGAAAGGGACTACTCCTGAATGCTCTGCTGGCATAAAAAAAATAGAATTCTTATACAAGCAAGCAGAACATTGGTTCTTTCATTGAAGTGCTCATCTTTCCCCATATTCCTTAGTATTTCTCTTCAAGCCTTCGGTGTATGGACTTCCTCTTTGATTCCTTCTTCTTTATTGTACTGTATAAGCAATCAATTTCAGGACAAACAAAAAGAGATCCTTCTTATCTGAGGATGGGAAAACTACTGAAGTGACTGAAAGAGGAATTCAGAAGATGATATGTTCAACCATTTCGATTAGAATACTGGTACCTAATACACCTCTTTCTCTTTATCTCATATTCACTCATCAACATAAACATGTAAAGACAGCTTGTGTTCCTAAGCCTTGAGTCAAGAGAATACTCACTCTGTTACTTTGAAAGTAATTGATTTAAGTAAATTTTGAGGTCTATGAAGTTACATTTTGTATTTCAGAGGATAACTTTTCCCTAAGACACTTGTATATTCTGTTTTGTTTGGTGAGATGTGAAAAATCTTCAGAATAATCAAGAAGAATGACTATATCCTTTATAAACATCAGATTATATACTTCATAGTCAAAGGCCTTACGCTCTACTGAGTTCAAAGAATTGCTTACCCAGTCTTCGAAACGCATAATGATTTTCTTTGGACATGCACAATAAATTCTGGTTTCCAGATTGGGAGTCAATTAATAGCAGCACAATACCAATATGCATGTCATATGTCTACATCATCAGAAGAACAAACAGTAAATAAAACTTCAGCTAGCAGTGTTGGTGAGTAGACTTCTTTAACTATTTCTAAGTCTAGATTGAAAACTGTTTTGATAACTGGGCTGTGATGAGGAGTGGGCAGTAATGGGAAAATGAAAACAGTAGAGGCAATTTTAAACAAAAAGGAGAAAGTGAAAAATCCAATATTGAGTGCATTAAACTTGACATAAAATGCATTGAGCCTGACAAAGAAACAAAGCCGATTTAGGTGGTCAGAAGGTTGAATCAATATGCAATGTTCTTTTGAAATCACAAAGGATAGTAGTCGCAACAAATTCTATACCTATTCACCAGTAATTTTCTGAAGGTATATATAAAGAATTGTTTCAAATAATTATGGAGAATAGGTGAAAAGAATAACAAATATTTCTAGGTTGCTGCCTAGATGCTTTCTTAGAAATGAACAGAAATGTGGAGGCAGAAAATTATATAGTACTGAAGGAACCACATTGGACTATTGATTCCTGTAGGTGAATAATGTATGAAAATGGTAGATGGAAAAGAGCAAAGTCTGGTCCAGAACACAGGCATCTCTGAGTGGGCTTGTTCTCTAGTCTCTAATGAGCCATTAACATTTTCTGCACAGAAAATTGATATGTTCTAAAAGGGCATTCCATTCTGAATCAAAGTCTCCTGGAGAGACTCCAGTGAAAGATTGAACTCTACTTTGCTGTCACCCATCAGGACAAGGATCCAGAAAGGAAAAGAAAAATGGAGGCACGCTGTTATTATTGAAAAATGGCAGCTATTCTTCTCTCTCTCTGCCAATTCATTTAATACCTATAATGGCTATTTATGAGAAAATTAAGTGGCCCAAGTCTGTGTAATATACCAGAACAATTGTATGCTGTCTTTCCAGAATCAAACGCTGATGACATAGACTAGAATACCTTCTCCATCTTGCCAATTTATACATAGCAGTAATGTAAGTGAAGGGTTATATTTGTTTCAGCTATATTGGAACCTATACATGGACAGATTTTTACCTCTAGACTTGGAGTCCTAGATCATTCTTCTTCAGGTTCTCTGATGTATTTTTCCCTGTTCTGAAATCTTTTCCATCTCTTTAATGACTGACAACTTTAATGGGCAAAATGATAAGTAGTTGTTCACTCTCTGTTCATTGAGGTTGGAATGAGACTTGTTTGCAATGGAGACAAGAAAATATCATGTGTTTTGGAAATAGAAAAATTCATATAATAACTCACTCCCTGGCTGGTTCCATCTGCTCCAAGTAGTATGACCGTGAACAACACACCAGATAAAGGAGCCAAAAGGAAGCATCAGTTCCTCCTAACTCTATCAGCTTTTGACATCATTTTTTTCACAAAGAAGGAAAGAATAAAGACTACAAGAAATTATTCTTAAATTCTTTCTTGTGCAATGGTCACCCATGTCTCCTACTGACCATTGTTGGCATTTTTTCTCTCCTTGTTGGCTTGTTTCTGGAGAACCTCTGCCATATCTCTAATCTAAGTCCCCAAGAGACTTCCCTCTTTCCAACAATGCAAAGCATTCTTGAGAGAAGTAATGTATCACTTTTCTCCCCTCATCATCATTTTTTTTTGCATTTCCTATTGTCATGGACACAAATGTTGCTTTTCCTCTTTCTGGTCTGTGTAGCCTGGATAAGAATATCCCCTAAAGAAAATATCCTAGCATGTATGAACGGTTCATGAAGGCTGGGTGAAGGACAATTGGCAAATAAGGAATCAGCTCTTGTATTGTAGAGAAGTAGCTACTGACAACTTAAATCTATAACTGCCAATAGAAACTCTTCAAGGAAAGTTGACCTATGAGTCAACAGAAACTGAATATAAAAATAACTTTGGTGGGAAAATTTTCTGACTTAACAACCTTCCTTTTGGTTCAAATGGTAGAATGTCAGTCTTGAGCAAAAAAACACCTAAGGTCCTTTTTTATGTTTTTTGACAACTTTTATTGTAAACCTCCTCTCTTTGAGGTAGCTGAGATATTATTAAAATGTTCTTGCTTACCTTAAGTGCTACTGCATAAAGTACCATGAGTTGTGCTGCTTACACTAACATAAAAGTGTTCTTTTGTGGTTCTGGAGGCATGGCTTCTAAAATCAAGTGACTGGCACACCCTCTTCTCAAACTGGGGATGGCATTTCCCTTCGCCTCTTCCTACTGTCTGTAATGTTGCTGTCAAGTCTCAGCATTTCTTGGCTAGGAGCTACTATCATTTCAATCTCTGCCTCTGTAATCACATGGCCTTTTGCCTACTGTACTCATTCCACATCATCTTCTCTTCTCTCTTCCTATTAAGACACCCCTCATTATGGATCAAGAGCCCATTCCACTCTACTGCAACTACATCTTTGTTGCTGTCTATTTCCAAACAAGGTCATATTCTCAGGTGCTAGGGCTTCCAATGGTTATATATCATGTCTGAGGATACAATTCAAACTATCACATTAATAATTACACATTTTCTAGTACATATCTAGTCTATAGCTTTGGATTCTTTAGTTGACTTAAAAGTTATTTGACATGCTCCAAACATATTCCAAACCCATAAATTATCTAAAAGCCCAATAATTATATTTCATCACTATATCCCTTTCTCAGAAAGGCTGCCTTCTTTTTTTTAATTTTTATTTTAGTTTATTTGTGAAGATACTGTACAGAGGGGTTACAATTACATGGGCAGGATAATGCGTACATTTCTTACCAAGCATTGCAGCCTCCTCCTTTTGTTTACCCTTCACATCCCTTCCCAGCCTCCCCCATCCCCCCCAATCCCAATCTTTCTCCTTCCCCCCCCCCCGCACTGACGTTGTAAAGCTCGTTTTGGACATGACAACTTGTACTTCTCATTGTTGCATCAGGTCCACCTGTATCTTTAAACAACTGGTTTTTCCCCATCTCCTCCTCAAGTTATACTGACATCAAATATAGTGAAAGCAGGGGTTATACTGT